TAATGACAATGATGATAACCACAATAATAAACATGGAAGGTGCCCAAAAATATTGTGTCGTTATTTTCAGATTAAAAATACAACAAAACACATCGCGTTAATCGTGAATAAATAATCCTGAGAATATACTAGACACTACACGTATGCACGTATGTACGTGAAACTGTTTTGGCTGGAATGTGATGATAATGCTTATTATGAAGTAAATAATTCCCTCCAACTACAGCCAATGATTCAACAGCCGGGCCAAGAACACAGATCCTATTAAATTTAATTCTTTTAAACCAGCTTCTCTACGACTCAATTATCCTACTACAGTATTAGTTAATTCAATTTTCTGTATTCAAAACATTTCTGGACCAAATTTGCACACATTTGCATTCTCCCATTAAAACCACTAATTTAAAAAATATTAGACACTTGAAAACATTTCTTTTACACCCGTTGTCCTGTCTCTTCCCAAATTATAATAAATTATAGAAATAGAAGCAATTTATGCACATTTTGGACTCCTTGAAACTCAGAAAACAGAATATGGGTTAGGTTAGGTTAGGTTAGGTTAGGACCTGACACAATATAATTAAAAAACTGATCCTAGCGTCTGTGGTCACAGTGGGTCAGTCATTTGTGAATCAAAGTTTTCGGAAAGATAATTTAATATACATTACCGTTGCTACCAGCAAACCATAAAGTGGATGAAATTAATATCGTTAGCGAAAAATTGATTGCATAAAAAGACTTTCATGTCACAGTAAAAATAAGGAGTTAATTTGGTTGGACAACGTTTCCTGTACCTTGTTATTGGAAATTAGGCGGAAGAAAACAATACAGGTATAATAGACTACGATATTTCACAAGGTATATGACTCCAACAAGTGTGACGATCAAATTGGCCATGACGCTGCAGATAACAATAATTAATTTGGTATACATCACTTTCACCACAACAGAATAAACAACCAGTTTCCTCGGACACAATGCATTCAAAGTTAATGAACGGGTACAGGGGACATGTGAATAATATGTTTGAAGCTTGCCATCTCTAGCACTGCAAATGAGTCGGTCACACATCTGAACAACTGAACGAAAATTGGCAAGCAAAGTATTGTCATGGACTAAGCTAGTGTATAGTAACTATTACAAATTGTAATTCTTCAATCAGAATTTATCATTCCGGACGAAGACAAACACGTATGTACGACATGTCTAACTGTTAAATTTCAAATACGAAAAATTAAATGAACAGGTTATTAAGAATTTTATGGGTATGTTTCCGGGGGTCACCATTTTACTGCTATAAATAACAATTAATGTATTCAATAAGTGTGGAAATTAATTACAGCGTTAAAATACCAAATAATGCAGAAGAATGCACCTAAATTCTGTTGAGAAAGAGTAATTCTTAAGTTTGTCTCGAGCTATATTCCATAAGAAAACGGGGATAATGGTAGATCTGAGAATATTTTACTAAATGCCTAATCGCACCACATAATTACAACGTGTAAATAGGGCAGAGGCAAACTTCACGAATTCTTAATTCGATATTAGACGAAGATAAGCAACCAGACTCACGATCTGAACACAGTGACGAACAGAAAAGTCTCATCCGCTTCTGAGGAACAATCCCTAGTCTTCCACCGCTCACTTTACGAACAGAACTCATTCTGTGAAATTATAATCAAATGCAAGTATTTCCTCTCTAAGTTAAGCGTAGAGAACGTCTTACCATTAACGGTGGTGCATCAGTCTCAAGAGATTTTGCGTAATGTCAAATTAAACAGATGTCAAAGCAGGATTAGATAAGAATCAGTCGTGGCATATTTTAAGGTATTTCTAGGAATTTGTCCGGAGTTTAAGAAAACCATGACAATCCTCAGTGAAGACAGCTGGTAAAACGTTAGTGATTAGAACTTGATTATCTCACGAACGGATTTAGGTAATACATTTTTAATTCTTCTACAGACAATTTCACTAAAATCTTTTTTCACACAGACGGCTTCAGGGCAGGGCCGAGAAACAACGAAACTAACAAGCCCGAACACATACGTTTCTGTGGCAAATGCTATTTACTTTTTAAAGAAAATTAACTTAATTTTATTCACTCGAGTCTGATACCTTGCAGAACGGTTTCTGTATATCCACGAAAAGGGAAGCCTCTACTGAAATGTTTCCCACACATCGCATGTGTTTTTGTCTTGGTCACCGTGGTTACACACATCTGCCAGGCGAGGCAGAGATGACAAAGCTCTTTGTTATTGTTACAATATGGCTACTTAACGTATCACGCAATTTCTATTATTCTACTGCGATATTTATAAAGTAACAATGGAGTTTGCGTGTCTGAACAGCTCATCACACAATTGGCTGACACAAAACCGCAAAACAACGGAAACAGTCAAGAAAAGCAATGCCCCAACTATTACTTCACTTCCTTCAAAGTGAAAGACGTTAATGCTAGATACAGTCTTTTGTTTGATATTTAGAAGAGTGTTGAATTACTGTATTCACAACTGCTCTATCGGGCCATTGAAACAGAAACGTACAGAACGTTCCATTTAAAATGCCATCCTAACTACCGCACATGAAACCCTTCACGGAAGCATCGCGTCCACCTTCAGTGTTGACTGGAACCAGAAACATAGTAAATATATGTTACACTGTATTTAACACAGTCGAATCAGACATATAAACCAGAATCCAAATATACAGTGCAGAACGTTCTAAGCCTTGTATACATCCCGCATTTAAGCACAGCTAATACAGAAGTCTGTCACTGTAAGTTCTCACAAATCGCTTCTTTGAGTCAATTTTAACATTCGGCGTGTCCTCTAACTTCCTCCTTCTACGTCTTCCAATCAGTCGCTTGTCAAGTGGCTTCGACAAAAATATTCTGCACTAAATATTTACTCCCATTCTATCTACACATTCAACCCATCTTAGCCAACTAACAATGCTGTACCAGTAGCGATTTTATGATCCTCCATTCAAACTTTCAGCGTTTCCGGCCTAGAAACAACAGTGGCCGCTAAATTTCTCTGTTTTGTCAGTGAATCAACTGACGAACGTTTTCTGACCGTTGCAAGCTTGGGACTCCACGGTTCCAAGTCTGGAATTAAAACTAAGAGCTGACAACAGCTGGGGATTTTTACGTCATACACAAACAGACCAAGGATCGTTGAATATCGACGCTACAACAGGCGACGTCCACAAGTTCCGATGTATTTTACTGTGTAATATTCTCAGCTGGGCACAAGTACTTTTCTCGAAGCACTATACCGAGTAAACTGTAATTTATTTTTACATCTCAAAGTAAGCCGTCATATTTCACACCCCTGCAAAATATTAATACTTAACGGTACTGCAAAAAGTACGGTTATAGTCGCGAGTCATCGGATATCATGCTACAGCAGCAACTAGAGCAGGGTTTAACATCCAAGCCAACTCAATAGTCCTGCTATTACAATCGGTTTATGTGACAGCCCGCCCCTTACAATGTGTCCTGTCTAGAGAAATACATCACAGTAGGACGCGCTTCGAATGTCAGGATACATAAGTTAAATGCCGTATAACTGAGTCACTGTTGGACAGCGGGAAAGAAAGCTTTTGGTTGAGAACCTCATTCAATGAATAAATATTTCTCGATTCTATATCTCGTCTTAATCACGTATCACCAAATAAAGAGTACTAGGAAAAAATAATATTGGAAACAGTACCTTGTACATGAAAGATCAAACAGAGACAAGTTGCAAATAATAATAATAATAATAATAATGAATATTTCAATGATCGTCTAAAGGCATGTGATGGTGTTTTTTTTTCGTCTCATTTTCTCAGGTTGTTGATAATCATTATGCTAATACGTTTTTATAAATTTGATTTTCGATATTAGTGACACCGATCGGGATCAAACACTTTTGTGTGTTAGCCACTAGGATTTAATGCGTTTAGTTTTATTCCTTCGTATTCTCCTCGAGTTCTCTTTCTTTGCTTTCTTCTACATATTCTGCTTATTTTCTCTCTTCCATATACTTCCTTTAGTCACATACCTCCCTTTGATCCGGTTCGTTTTATTCCTTCTATTTCAACTTCTTTCTTTGTATTTTATCCCTATTCCTTTCAGTTTTCATTTTCATATTTTCCTTCCATCTTCTAATGTTTATTTCACTCCCTTTCCCTTTCTTTCAACCTATTTTAATTTTCCATCATTTTCACTGTCTCTTCTATTTACAACTATTTTTATTCATTTTTAATTTTAATTAAACGTATTCGCCTCTTCTCTATACACACACCCGTGTGTGTGTGTGTGCACGTAAGCCTAAAGAATTTATTCAATTACATTAACAATAACATCTATTTCTCTTCAGTTTCCCTTCGCCTCATATTTATATCTTCCTTCCATCTCTTCCCTTTCTTCTCACTTTCCATGTCACACATTTCTTTCCCTCCCTCTCTCGTTTACTCTCGACTGTCACTTGCAATTTATGCATCTGGATATATAGCAATAACAGCAAGTTGCAGCCTTAATAACATCACCCTGCAAGAATTCCGCAAAACCAGACCGTATCAAATAACCACAATCTTTCCTCTTTCAAGAGCACGCAGATAATCCATAAAACCACAACTCACCCCGCAGTCCAGTAATTTCACCCCTTCAAGCAAATCCAATATATGCCACCACCACAACATTCTCTCAACCCCCCAAACCCTGCAAACAAGCATCCACCCTCTACCACACTGTAGTTTTAGTGTTTTCTGTTCTGTACTAGTCCTGTTTTAAACACAGAAAAACTATTCTACTCTTAAATGTTCTAATAATGGTATCTTGTTTCAGAACTGTTGAAATATTAGCTTATGATACGTAATAGTATGGTTCACACGTTCGTATGTTCGTAAGTCAGCTGATCGTAAAACGGTGACTTTCTGTAAACATCTGGAATTTATTGATCAAACAACAGGCAAGTACAGAGATTTTAATGATAAATAATAATAATAATACTCACAGTAACCATGAAAGAAACTGAATCCCAACGACTCTTTGGAAACACTATTTTCTGAGCCACGTAGCCACGTGATTCAGTACGCGCCACTTCCCAGTGTTATCAGTTTCTGAAAAAGAAACACCAATCATGTTAATAAAGTCTTCTCGAGCTATCAGCCGTGTTAGTTGGTGATCAATCGACGACGTTTCGAGGACCATCTCTGTCCTCGAAACGAAACTGATAGCCCGAGAAGACTTTATTAACGAAAGCTTCACATCATATCATATTTAATCATAACACGTATAGAAAATCATGCAAATGAAGATAAAGTTCATATTGTAGGTTTATACGACGCTCAACAGCAGAGTTTATGCAGCATTAACTTAGAAGGTAAGGTGATTATGAATGATGAACTGCGAGCGACAGAGCAGAGAATGGTAGAAGCCACTTCAAATGTCTGGACGTAAAATGAGCACCTAAACATCCTTGCTGAAGCAGGTACACATGTCCAGCTTCGAAGAAATACCAGTGTAACAAGGCAGAAGTGTTACAGGGATGTTCTAAAGCCCGAGGAATAAATTAGGGATACGGGTAATATGATATATATTCATAAGGGAAACAGAGATTGTATTCCATTTAGACATGTCCAATAAAATTAATTTAATTTGAGACGCTTCACGGTTATCTACACAGCATTTCCTTAAAAGCTTATTCACACAAAAACCAACCCTTATGAATAGGGTGGCTCGTTGCAGTGGCAGGGACGGAGTCAACGTCTCTCAATACGTTGTGATTGGTTGCAGAGGAAAAGCGGACCAACTCACTTGCGTTCGTCTCCCTTAACGTCTTATGTCATAAAATATGTTCGTGGGCTATTTAACGACGGTTTTATCAACTGTAGAGCTAATTTGGTGTCGAATAAAAATAGAAAGTGTCGTGTGTTATGAAGCGGTCGTGTCTGGAAGGGCTAAGGAAAACCATGTTAATTCCCCTGCCAGGCTTCCAAAGCTGGTACCTCCCAAATACGTCAGATATGTTACCGAATCACGAAGCTTTACTCACTTTCATTCGGTTCAAATTTAAAAATGTGTTGAGCTTTAAGCTCACTCCCCTTTACGTCCTGCGCATTACTTACGTTTATGTGAGATTTGAGATTCTCACGGCCGTGAAGATGACAGTTATTTTTTTGGGTTATGACGTCTTGTGGACTCGTAGGTAGATACCAACGTTTCGGAAAAAGTGCTGTTTCCACCTTCACATCAACCCTAAAGATGAAGACAGTGCGTTTCTCCAAAGCGTTGGTATCTACGTGGCGTCATAGCCCAGACGAACAAAACGTCAACTTGTTTATTGACACAGTGTCCACCGTCCTGAAGAAACTGAATGCAAAAATGTGGAGCATCAGCCTAAGAAACAAAAGAATAGCTTATTGTTAAATCAGTGTCTCCAACCTTGTCACGACCAAAATCTGCTTGACCACCTAGAATCGACTTGATTGGCAAGGTGGCATCCTCTGAATCACGTGACCACACAAACAGCAACAAGTCACAGACTCACGCCATTCCGTGCACTTTGTTGCGTCCCCCGTCTTAATAAATAAAACATTGTTCTGTGTCATCGTCTGGATCAAATCCAGATGCAGAAAGATGCAAGTCAGATGGTACGGTGGTTGGAGACATCCAACACACTGCCATTCATTCTTATGAACTCAGAGACTCTAGTATGTGAAAATATTAATGCAGCTGATATTGTATCTTACGTAATACACTCGACGTTTGGAATAAATGAACACAATAGGTTTACGGTAATTTAATTGACATCTTGAAAATTAATATGATCATGTTTTATGATACTTTGTATCATAACAGTGCTAGTGAACCATTGTCAAAAAAAACTTTAAAATTATAATAATCATAACACTTTTCTACCACCGAAAGAAATTGCGCTTAGGAGACTGACGAGAAATGGGCCTACAATTCAACATAAATGTTGAATGACAACATAGCCAGGCCTGCATCTAGGAAAATAGATATTTCGTATTTTTAATCGTGAGACACTTTCTAGCCTAAACAATTTTATACTCACAAAGGAAAAAAGCGATATTTCAGGAAATTCCAATATGCTTCGTAAGCGATGCATTCAGAGGCTAACAAAGAACATATATGCATAATTTCATACATAAATACATAAATGTCTATGATCTTATACACAGATTGTACATGAACATAAACATAAGTAAAGTTTATTTAATGTGAATTCAGTACAGCCAAAATACCAGCTCGGACCTGGCA